GGGGGGCCGAGGCCGGAGAGCCCTGCAGGGAGGAGGGGTGCGTGGCTGATGGGGATAGGCAGGTACAAACGCGTCTGGCGGCGGATGAGAAGGAGCAGGGTGTGGCAGCGTGTGGGGAGTGAGAAGGATTTGGGGTGCCCCAGGACCTGAAGTTGCCACACCTTGGACACCCAACCCATTGCCCCAGGCTACCCACACCTACACCCCATCCCGGCTCTGAGCCACCGTGGGGGGGACTGGGGCTCTGCCTTCCCCGTGGCGCCCGGGCTTGATGGACTGCAGCCTCTGGTTCCCCACACCCAAGCCACAGAGCCCAGGAAGGAAGGGGGGGGGCTTCCCCCTTGGAGGGTCTTATCTCTGATCCCCGAATGCGTGTGCGTGTGTGTGCATGCACGTCTGATCTGTGCCCTCCTGCCTGTGGCCTCGTCTCTGCCTGTCCCTCCCCTCGTCCCTCCTTCTCCTCATCCTGGCAGCCTGCTCCACCCCTGCTGCAGCTCCACGATAACCCTTGGGCAAGATTGTTACCTAATCTCCCTCCTGGCCCTCTCCAGCCTTCATCCGGCTTTCTTTCTCCCAGCAGACGCCCGCCCGCCTGGCCTGGCAGCCATGAGGCCCCCATGGTGTGGCCTGCGAGTGCGCTCCCGGCCTTCCCTCCTCCTCCTCCTCCTCCTCTCCCTCCTGGGTGGAGGACTGGAGGTGGAGGGGCGGGAGGATCCAGAGCTGCTGGTGACCGTCCGGGGAGGCCACCTGCGCGGGATTCGCCTGAAGGCGCCTGGGGGCCCTGTGTCCGCGTTTCTGGGCATCCCCTTCGCGGAGCCACCTGTAGGTCCCCGTCGATTTCTGCCACCAGAGCCCAAGCGGCCCTGGCCAGGAGTACTGGACGCCACGACCTTCCAGAATGTCTGCTATCAATACGTGGACACCCTGTACCCTGGTTTTGAGGGCACCGAGATGTGGAACCCCAACCGTGAGCTGAGCGAGGACTGCCTGTACCTCAATGTGTGGACACCGTACCCCCGGCCTGCAACCCCTGCACCAGTCCTCGTCTGGATCTACGGAGGCGGCTTCTACAGCGGGGCCTCCTCCCTGGACGTGTACGACGGCCGCTTCCTGGCGCGGGCTGAGGGCACCGTGCTGGTATCCATGAACTACCGAGTGGGAAGTTTTGGCTTCTTGGCCCTGCCAGGAAGCAGAGAGGCCCCAGGCAACGTGGGCTTACTGGATCAGAGGCTCGCACTGCAGTGGGTCCGAGAGAATGTGGCAGTCTTTGGGGGGGACCCGGCGTCGGTGACCCTGTTTGGGGAGAGTGCAGGGGCAGCCTCTGTGGGCATGCACCTGCTGTCCCCGCCCAGCCGGAGCCTCTTCCACAGGGCCATCCTGCAGAGCGGGACCCCTAACGGGCCCTGGGCCACTGTGGGGGTGGGAGAGGCGCGTCGCAGGGCCACGCTGCTGGCCCGCCTCGTGGGTTGTCCCCCAGGCGGCACCGGCAGCAATGACACAGAGCTAGTGGCCTGCCTGCGGACTCGGCCAGCTCAGGACCTGGTGGACCACGAGTGGCATGTGTTACCTCAAGAAAGCATCTTCCGCTTCTCCTTCGTGCCCGTGGTCGATGGGGACTTCCTCAGTGACACCCCCGAGGCCCTGACCACCACCGGAGACTTCCACGGCTTGCAGGTGACGTGAGGGTGGGGGAGCTGGCGCCTCTGGGTCTCACCTGGCCCCCTCCCTTCACCCCAGGGATCCAGGCATGAGGGCCCCTTCACACCCACTCTCAGTGGTCCAGACTTATGAGCCCAGGGCCACCTCCCCCCCCCAAAAAAAACCAAACACCAAACAAGGCTCAGACGGGGTGGGGGTAGCAGGAAGGAACTGTGGGTATATTTTCTCTTTTTTTTTTCCCCCATCCCTTCCCTGATCTGTTCTCTGCCTCCATGGTTCCAGGGCTATAACTTCATCTCTCTGGCTCTGTGTCTGTCTGTCTACCTGTCTTGTCTGTCTGTCTATGCTCCAACACCTCCCATCCTGTCCTCAACCCCCAGGTGCTGGTGGGGGTGGTAAAAGATGAGGGCTCCTATTTTCTGGTTTACGGGGCCCCAGGTTTCAGCAAAGACAACGAATCTCTCATCAATCGGGCCCAGTTCCTGGCTGGGGTGCGGGTTGGGGTCCCCCAAGCAAGCGACCTGGCAGCGGAGGCTGTGGTCCTACATTACACAGACTGGCTGAACCCGGAGGACCCAGCCCGCCTGCGAGAAGCCATGAGCGCCATTGTGGGCGACCACAACGTCGTGTGCCCCGTGGCCCAGCTGGCTGGGCGGCTGGCTGCCCAAGGCGCCCGCGTCTATGCCTACGTCTTTGAGCACCGTGCCTCCACGCTGTCCTGGCCCCTCTGGATGGGAGTGCCCCACGGCTATGAGATTGAGTTCATCTTTGGGCTCCCCTTGGACCCCGCGCTGAACTACACCATAGAGGAGAGAGTCTTTGCCCAGCGATTGATGAGATACTGGACCAACTTTGCCCGCACAGGGTCAGCAGCACTCTGGGTCAGAGGGAGGGCAAGGGATGGGCTCTTGTAGAAAGGCAGAGAAGACAAGAAAAAGGAAAGAACACAGGGATGGAGAAGCCACAGACAGGCATGGAAAATCCTGAAGAGACAGGAGCAGCCTTAGAGGAAGAGCAGAAAAGCATTTTGCCTAGCATGCTTGGGAACTTGGGTTCTATTCCCAGCAAGGGGGGAAGAATAGAATAGTGGAGGAAGAGATGAAAAGAGTCAAAGGAGTCTGTAATCAATCCTAGCTATTCAGGAGGCTGAGATCTGAGCAAAGTCCATGGGACTCTTATCTCCGATTAACCAGCAAAAATCCAAAAATGGAACTTTGGCTCAAGTGGTAGAGCACTAGCCTTGAGCACAAAAGCTAAGGGACAGCACACAGGCCCTCCCTGAGTTCAAGACCCAGGGCCAGTGCAACACAGGTGTGTGGGGAGCTGTAGTTGGGAGTGGCTGTACAACTGGATGAAGCTGTTGAGCCAGCAGAGGTTTATTTATGGTCTCTCTCTACCCACATCCACACATAGCTGTACCCGTCCAAAACGGGGACTAATAAGTGCAGCATCAGATAGATACCACCCCAAATAAGGGTGATGTGCAAAGGGACCAGACAGCTCCTGGTTAAGCCGTAAAGGCTCAATTGTAGCTTTTTTTTTTTTTTTTTGGTCCGGTTGTGGGGCCTGAACTCTGGGCCTGGGTGCTGTCCCTCAGCTCTTCAGCTCAAGGCTAGCGCTCTACCACGTGAGCCACAGCACCACTTCCGGCTTTTTTTTTCTTTTTGCTTATGTGGTGCTGAGGAATCGAACCCAGGGCCTCAGGCATGCAAGGCACGCGCTTTACCACTGAGCCATCTTCCCAGCCCCTCAATTGTAGCTGTGTGTGTGTGTGTGTGTGTGTGTGTGTGTGTGTGTGTGTGTGTGTGTGTGTGTGGATACTGGGACTTGAACCCAAAAGTTTTGTACTAGGTAGATGGGAACTTAATTGCAGTACAGCAATTAAAGCGGGACGCAAACAAAAAGACCAAGGAGAGGAAGAAAGAAAAGGGACAGAGAGGAAGGGCAGGAGGAGAGGAAGACCCCCCCCCCCGATGATGGGGAGCCCTGCTGCGGGAGGGAGATGAGGCTATTGGGGAGCTGAAGCCACCACCAGCGCCCCCCCCCGCCCCCCTCCGGTCAAGAGGCGGACCCTGCACCTCCCTCATTCCCCCGGGAAGCAGGGCTCCGAGGGGCTGAGCCTTCCCTCTCCTCCCGCAGGGACCCCAATGACGCCGGGGACCCCACGGCCGCGCAGTGGCCGCCCTACACGCCGGGCGCGCAGCAGTACGTGGGCCTGGGCCTGCGGCCGCTGGAGGTGCGGCGCGGGCTGCGCGCCCAGGCCTGCGCCTTCTGGAACCGCTTCCTCCCCAAGCTGCTCAGCGCCACCGGTACGGGGGACCCCGGGGAGGGCTCGGGGTGCAGCCGGGCGGGGCGGGGCCGGCCGCGTGTAACCCCCCCCTCTTCTCCCCACCCCAGCCTCCGAGGCTCCCGGCACCGGGCCGGGCCCCGCCCGCGGGGAGGCGGCCCCGAGGCCCCGGCCCGGCCTCCTCCTCCTCCTCCTCCCCCTCCTCTCCCGGCTTCTGCGGCTCTGACCCCGGCCTCTCCCCCTCCCTCCGGCCGCGGGGCCCCTCCGTGCGCGGTGGGACGCGGGGGAGGCCCCAGCACCCGCGCGTGGAATTGCTAACGCCATTGTTGTTGCACGAGCGTAAAGTCATCCTCCTCCCCGGGGACCCGAGCCGGCGCGGCGGGAGGGGCCGGGCGCGGCGCCTCGCCGCGGGCTCTAACCGCTTCGGTCTCTTTTCTCCCCCTCTCGCCTCGGCCCTTTCCGCTCCCCCCTCCCCGGCGCCCCCCCTCCGCCCCCGGCGTCCCCCCTCCGCCCCCCTCCCCACGCCGTGCCGGCCGCAGACACGCTGGACGAGGCGGAGCGCCAGTGGAAGGCCGAGTTCCATCGTTGGAGCTCCTACATGGTGCACTGGAAGAACCAGTTCGACCATTACAGCAAGCAGGACCGCTGCTCGGACCTGTGAGGAGACCGGCTGTACATACTCTTATTTATTTACGGTCTGGACTGTAGCAGACGACCCCAGACCGCGCTCCCCGCCAGCCCGCCCCCTGGGCTCCCGCCCTCTGCATGTCCCGGGCCGAGCTCCCTCCCCCGCGGTGCCTTCGCCCCTCGGGGCTGCCAATAAACTGTTATAGCCACGGCGCGTGCGCGACTGGGAACCGGGCCGGGGACCGGTGGGGGCGGGAGGACCCGCCCAAAGGATCCGCGTGAGAGAGGCGGGGCGGGGTTCACTGCGGGGAGAGCATGCCGGGCGCAGGCGCAAAGGCCGCTGCCCCGCCCTTACCGCAGGCCCCGCCTGCTCGGCGGAGCTCGCACCTGCGCAGTGGAGTGCGAGGGCCGCAGTGCACTGTGGGAATCCCCGCTCGGCGTTGCCGGGGCCGCCGCGTCGATCATCCCGCGGACGTCTCGGGCTGGGCAAGCGCGCTCCGCCCGCCAGTCCCGACCTCAGGGAGCCCAGAGTCTGCGCCGAGGAGGCCCAGACCCAGTTACGCCGTGCGTAGTCGGTGATGGGGGCTGCAGCACCGCTGCGGGACGTCCACCGGGGCCTGGTCCCGCCGAGCGGCGGCCCCGCGCGCGTGGCCCTCCTGTCGGGCCACTACCTCTACTACCACTACGGCTGCGACGGCCTGGACGACCGCGGCTGGGGCTGCGGCTACCGCACGCTGCAGACGCTGTGCTCCTGGCCCGAGGGCCGCCCTACCCGCGTGCCGACACTGGACGCCGTGCAGGCCGCCCTGGAGGACATGGGCGACAAGCCCCCCGGCTTCTGCGGCTCCCGGAGCTGGATAGGCTGCGTGGAAGCCAGCCTCTGCCTGGACCACTTCGAGGGCCCCGTGGGGCGCTTGTGCCACGTACCCCGCGGAGCTGGGCTCCAGGGGGTGCTGGAGAAGCTCTACTCCCACTTCGCGGGGGGCGGAGGCCCCGTGATGGTGGGAGGGGACGCAGACGCCCGCTCCAAGGCCCTGCTGGGAGTCTGCCTCGAGCCCGGCGGCCAGGCCTACGTGCTGATACTGGACCCGCACTACTGGGGCACCCCCAAAAGCCCCAATGAACTGCAGGCCGGCGGGTGGGTGGGCTGGAGAGAGGTGAGCACAGCCTTTGACTCCCACTCCTTCTACAACCTGTGCCTGACCAGCCGCAACCCTCAGAAGCAGCCACCCACCCTGGACTGAGGGCCTGGGCCCAGAACTGAAGCGCCCCCATGTGCACCTAACTCAGGGCTCCCAGCAGAGCCTGTCCTCCCTGGTCAGAAATAAAGTGGCCCCAGCAGGTGCAGGCATTCGGGCCGATCAGGGAAGGTGATGATGGACACAGAGTCACTACTTGAAGTGCTTTTATTGGCAGTAATGCTAACGTACAAAAATTTCTCAGCTGAAGGGACAAGGCAGTCACAAGTACAGACAACACTAGTGAGGGGCAGAGGGGTCAAAAGAAATCCACGTCATCGGGGGCATCCAGGTCCCGGTACTCCACAATGGCCCTGGGATCTCCTCGAACCATCCTGTGAGGTTGGAGAGGCAGATGAGAGTGGGCACCCCCCACTCTCGAGTTTGAAGGAGGCAAAGATGGCCATTTGGGCTCTGGCTCACCTGTTGCGAGGTTTTCCGGGATAACCTCCCTGGCCTCGGAAGGCGTCATAGTTGCCGCGGCCAGCACCATAGGGAGCGTGGGGATACGGAGGCCCTCCTGTGGGGACTGCGGGGCGCACAGCTCCTGATAGGACAGAGCCACAGCTCACACCAGCCTGGCTCAGCCTTCTTCCTCCCAGCTACCTTCCACACAGCCACCAAGCTGCTTCCATCTCCCTCTCGAACCTACCTCCATAGCCCAAGATGGGAGGCCGAGGTTGACCATAGGGCATCAGACCCTGGGGCGTCTGGTGTGGGTAGGGGAGTCCCGGGGTTAGGCCTGGGGGGAGTACAACATGGACAGGGACATGAATTACTGCGGGAGGGGGGAGGGGAGGGGAGGGGATGCACCCAGGACAAATGATTGTATGAATATGGCCCAAGTGGGTGGGGAATGCCTACAGTCAAGGAGAGACTGCCAGACCCCCATGGATCGTATCTTACTCTGGGCAGGGCCTGGAGGCTGAGCTGGCTTGATCTCAGGGAGAGCTGGGCGCTTGGCATCCGTGAGAAAGTTGTTAAAAAACGCCACCTCCTTTTTCACTTCCTCAATCTTCTCCGCATGCTTGTTGAAGATGTGTTTACGCACAAACTCTGGACCCTAGGTAGAGAGGAGAAGGTCAGTGCAGAGCAAACCATGTGGGTTCCTTGTTCCCACACTCAAGCCAGAAGGTCCCCAGCCCCCCTCCTCCTCCCACACCACCATCTAGCCCACCAATTCTCAGCATCCCAGACCTTGAATTTCTTGCCACTGAGAGGACATAGCCACTTATCCTTGCCCAGTTCTTGGGTGTTGGAGGTGACAAACTTTTCCACTTCCTGTTCAGGATCTTTGCGCCCCATCTTCTGGGCCTCTTCCTCTGAGAGGGATTCCCTCACACTCAGCAGGGGAGTCAGCTTCTCCTCAAAGGTCTTCTGCCACTCCAGCACTGGGTTGGAGAACAGAACCACAGGTTGGAGGAGGGAACTGGCACAAGGCCAAGGAGGCAGCGACTAGCCAGTTGAAAGGAGGGAAATCTGGGGAGCCGGCACTCACCCTCTCCATGGCTGATGCGGTTGGGAGGCATGGGCCCCCGGACATGGATGATGCCACAGCGGTTGGGCATCTCGTCCTCATTGGGGTACTCACAGGTGTTGTAGTAATCCAGGGAATGCACAATGCGTAAATAGAGAAGGAGCTTGTCCAAAACCTACAGAGCACAGGAAGCCTGGTCACCACTCCATCTCCTCCACCACTGCCCTCTGCACTCACCCCATGTCCGGCCCTCACTGGCACCTTGATCAACTTCTCATCACGCTCCACATTTATCTCTGCCGGGTTCCCTTCCTTGGGAGGCTCTTCAGGGGGGGCCCCCCCGCTGCTCCCCAGCAGTTCCTCCTCCTCAGCACTGACTTCCTCTATCAGGTAGTCGGTAATGTTCTTCAAAATTGGATTTTGCGAGGGCAGACTCTGGTGAGAAGAGACAGGGTGTTGAGGCAGAGCCCCTCCAGGTGGGCAATCAGGGAAGCCATGCATTGAAGGCACTTCTGAACGTGTTCCACTAGGCCACAGTGACCACAGTGGTCTGTGCTACAGAAGCCACCACCCAGACACCACAGGGCCAAAGTGAGGGTGGGCTGAGTCCCAGGAGGCATGGGCTGTTTTGGAAACTGAACCCCAGGGAGTCACTGACTGTTGGCAGAGTTGGCAGTGGAGGTGTGCCAGGCTCCGAGGCCCAGAGCTGCGTCCTGTCATCCAGCGTGTGGATCAGCTTGGCGGCCAGCTTGATGTCGTTGCGCACAATCTGCTTGTGCTGTGTGATGCCATTGATGTTGCGGACACGCCTGGTCAGGTCCCTGTTAACACCGGGGCTCAGCTCGCACTCCCGGAGCTGGAGGGACACAAAGCAGGAAGCTGACCACCTGCCCTGGGAGCAGAGCTCAGAGAATGTGCTCTATCCGTGCCAGGGCACCTGGGCGGGGACAGGAGGGGTCTGGCCCACACACCTCCCCACACTTACTCGGATGTTCTGCAGGTTCCAGCAGATCTCCTTGATGTTAACACTTCGGTCAAAGGTCACCCAGCCACGCCGGAAAAACCTAGGTGAGGAAGGAATGTGAGCACCATTCCAAGCGCCTCCCCCTGCACCCCCCCCACATCCCTGTCCAGTCTCACCTCCTCTCTGGCTGGGGCTCCGACAGCGCCACACGCATAAAACCTGGGTATCTCTTACATAGCTGTGAAAAGGGGAGCATAAGAGCTATGAGTGATCCCTAAATGCACCTCTTCCTCCGACTCCAACTTCCCTCAGAACCCTGAGGAAATCTGGTTTCCTTTTCTTGGGCGGTACTGGGGATCAAACCCTAGGCTTCCAGTGCAAAATGCCCTTTAATCCTCCCCATGCTGGGGCAAGAGCAAAAGCTGACAAGCCTAAGAACAGAATCCCCCCCAAGGATCCTCCAAGGGCAGGTGATAGAAGGGGTCCCCACTAGGTGCCAGACTGCCTTCTCACAGGCAGTCCATGTGCCCACACACAGGACCCACTTCCCCACTCACAGACGTGATCTCAGCCCGGGAAATGTTGGGTGCGATGTTGCGCATGAAGAGGGAACAGGTCTTGTGCAGCGGCCGGGGCTTGCACTCCAACCCCACCGCGTCCTTGGCCTTCTCCTTTTCGTCTTCCTTGGGCTTCTCCTTTTCCTTGACCGCATCTTCTGGGCATGAACAAGCAGGGGTTGGTTTAGTGGGGAGCCAGGGAAGCTGGTGCTGCACAATAGGAGAGGCGGCTCCACATCCTACCCTTCCTGGCCTGGGCAGCACAAAAAACCCACCGGCCTCCTCTTTCTCCTCCTCCGCCTGGCCGTTCTCGGACTCCGACTCAGATTCAGACACACTGCCTTCATCAAAGCTGTCACCACCACTGTGCTTCCTGTTCCGCTTCTTGCTCTGTGGACACCACAGGAGTGGGTGGCATCAGGCACAGCCAAGGCCTGGCCCCCATAGGCTGGCCCCATGCACAAGACACCAGATCACCTTTTTGGCTTCCTTCTCGGAGTCTTCTTTCTTCTCCTCATCTCCATCCCCTTCAGACTTCTTGGTTTTGTCATCGCTGGAATTACCATTTTCAGCCTACAAGCGGAGATGTTCACTGGAACTGCCCGTCATCCCCTCTCACCTTTGCGAGGCTCCTCTCTCGCCCCCACTAGATGAACCCCAGTTCTAGCTCCTTGGGGCCATCAGCCCACCTGTTTGCCATCTTCTTTCTTATCATCCTTCTCATTGGCCTTGCGCTCTCCATCCCCCAGGCCTGGGCCGGCCCGGCCTTCTTCTTTCTTATTGGGCTCTCCTGGTTTTCCGGCCTGCTCCTCCTCCTCCTCTTGCTCCAGGATGCGCAGATCGTTCTCTGTGCCTCCTTCCATCTTAATCACAGCTGCCAACAAAGACAGACGCACTCACAATCTGAAGAC